AAAAGCCAGGGGTATTTTTAAGAGGTTCTCTTGATAGTTCAACTGGTCTATTTATTCATCTCATTTCTAGTTTTACAGTTTGTTATTACTTTATAAAATTTGTATTCATATGTGTGTGTTTGTGCATGTATGTTATTATTCCAAGAATATACATTTGTTGTAAAAATTGACAGATTTATTTTATTTATTTATTTTTCTTGAGAGACATTTTTGCCATAGGGTACATATACTCACTGGAAAGACAGAGACAGACAGAAAGTGAGAACTCACCCCCCAGGGGGGATGACCATGCCACAGTCCCTCCTCCTCCATTCTCCTCTTAGGATCTTGGGCACACATGCACACGCATCCAGTGTGAAGTTTAAGTCACTGGGTCCGGGGTCAACTACGTGAAAGTCCAGTGATGTAACCATTATGGCATCTGCTGGTCCCATTTCCTGAATTTACTTTAGAGGACTAACATTTGGCATTGCTGATTCTCTCTCTGATATGTTTATTTTATTTTCTTTGACTGCTTCTTATAACTTTTTCTTTTCCCATCATCTTTAAGTAAATTTTCCATATCTAAACCATTAAGGTTGATTAGCTAATGAATTCTTAGTCTTCATTCTTAGTATTTTTGCTTTATTTATTTATTATTTATTAAGTTTTGCTAAGGAGCGCATCTGTTCACTAGAGACACCAAGAAAGAAAAGAGTGGAGCCAGCAGATGGCATGATAATTAAGGCACTGGTTATTAATTTAAGCTGGATTTAATTTTTCACTTCTTTAATTACAATAGAATTTGTAAATGTATTTGTGTATTTATTTGTACTTCAACGGCCTCTTTAATATGTGTGTTGAAATCTTTTATTTACTTGTTTTATATTTAAATACTGGATCTTTACAGCACAGAAAATTAATTTCCCCAGCATGCATACACTGTATATTGGTCTAGTCCAACATACTACCATAAACATTATCATCAACAGATAATTTATTTTTGTGTTCCTAAAATGTATTGCTCTTTAGATTTTGATTTCTACCTTCCTGTTCCCCATTGCTCATCTTCTTCCCACGCTATCTCTAGTATCCACAGTTGTTCTCCATGCTTTTGTACATTTCAATCTCTCAGTTTCAGCCATAGAGCACAAACATTCAGTATCTACTAAGTGGGACATCTAATGCCTCACTTTCACAGTCTGACCTGATTTGCTTAACATTAAATCTTCAGTGTTTGTCAATTGTCTATCAAATGCCAGGGTCTAATTTTTTTTTTAATGGCTGAGTAGTATTCCATGTGTATATGTGCCACACTTTTCCAACCCATTTATCTGTCCTTAGACATTTAGGTTGATGCCATGTCTTAATAATTGTAAATAAGGCTGCCAAAACCATAGATGTGCAAATGTTTTTCCAACTGAGTGTATTTCTGTCCTTTGGGACAGATACCCAGGAATAGAATTGCAAAATAATATGGTAGTTCTATTGTATGTTTTTGAGGAACCTCCATGTTGTTCTGCACAGTGCCCAAACTAATTTACTTTTCCACCAACAGTTTAGGAGAGTTCCCTTTCCACTGCAGCCTCACCAGCATTTATAATTTTTTACTTTTCTTAGCCGTTCTGATTGGGGTTAGGTAGTATCTCATTGTGGTTTTGACTTGCATGTCCCTTGTGATAAGAGATGTTGAATATTTTTTCATGTGCTTTTTGACTGTGTTTCTTCCTTAGAGAGTTTGTTTGCTCAGCTCATTTGCTTATCTTTTAATTGTATTTTTTTTTTTTTACTTTTTTTTTTAAAGGGGTAAACTGCTTACATTCCCTATACTGGTTATCAGTCCCTTATCTGAGGCTTAGTTTGTAAATATGTTCTCCATTTTGATGACTGTCTCTTTATTTTTATTATTGTGTCTTTTGCTGTATAGAAGCTTTTTAACGTGATATAATTCTTCTTGTCTATTTTCAGGATTATTGCCTGTACTTTGTGGATCTTGTTTAAGAAGCTTTGCCTACTGTGATGTCTCCACGAAATTCTCTTGTGTTTTGTACCAGTAGTTTTATAGTTTGAGGTTTTATGTTTCGATGTTTGATCCATTTTGAATTGATATTTGTTAATGATGAGACATAGGGTTCCAGTTTCATTTTTCTGCAGGTGAATATCTAGTTTTCCTACACCACTTGCTGAAGAGATTTTATTTTTCCTACTGACTTGTCTTATGCCCTTTGTCAGAAATCAGTTCTGCATGTTTTGGCATTAATGTTGTTCTATTGGTTTACATACCTGTTATTGTGCAAGTACCATACTGTTTTGATTATCGCAGCTCTGTAATATGTCTTTGTCAGAAATCAGTTCTGCATGTTTTGGCATTAATGTTGTTCTATTGGTTTACATACCTGTTATTGTGCAAGTACCATACTGTTTTGATTATCGCAGCTCTGTAATATGTTTTTTGGGTCAGAGAGTGAGATGCCTCCTACTTTATTCTTTTTGTGCAGTATTGCTTTGACAATGTGGGGGCTTTTGATGATTCCAGTAAAATTTTATGATTATTAAAAAATAAGATTGTTTTTTCTAATTCTGTGAAGAACATCTCTGGTAATTTGATCAAGACTGCATTAAATTTATAGATTTATTTTGGTAAAATAGATTTTTTGATTATATTAATCCTTCCAATCCAGGGCATGGGATGTCATTTCACATTTTGTATCATTTTCAATTTCCCTTTTAATTTTTCAATAATTTTTCTTGTAAAGGTCTTTGGTCAGTTTTATTTCTAGGTATCTTATGCTTTACGTGGTTATTGTAAATGGGCTTGTTTTTTTTTTCAATTCTATAATACCTCAGTCTGTTCACAGTTAGTAAATAAAAATGCTATAGAATGTTGTAAGTGGATTTTCTATCCTGCCACTTTACTGTATTTATTTATTACATTTCAGAATTATTTTTGTGAATTCCTTTGGATTTCTATGTATATATCATGTCATCTATAAAAAGAGATCATTTTACTTCTTATCCTGTTTGAATACCTTTTACTTTATTCTCTTGTCTGACTGTATTGTCTAGGACTTGCAGCACTATATTGAAAAAGAAAGGAGAAAGTTGGCAGCCTTGTCTTATTCCAGTGTTTAGTAGAAAAGCTTTCATTTACTGCCCACTCAGTATGAAAACTCTTATAAGGGTTTTTCACATATTGCTTTTATTGAGAAGTTATTTCTTCTATTTTGATTTTGCTGAGTCTTAATCATGAAGTAATGTTGTATTTTATCAGATGTTATTTGTGTACCAGTTGATATGATCATATCGTTTTTATCTTTTTTTCTGTTAATATGATGTATTACATTTTTTTGTTTTACATATGTTGAACCACCTTTGCATCCGTGGAATAAAGCCTACCTGGACATGGTGCATAATTTTTTAACTTGTCATTGGATACAGTTTGCTAGTAACTTGTGGAGAATTTTTGTGTCAATATTCAACAGGCTTGTTGGTCTGTAGTTTGTTTGTTATTGTTAAGTACTTGTCTATTCAGGAATGAGGGTGATGGAAGCTTCATAGAATGAGTTTGGGAGAATTTATTCCTTTTGGGTCTTTAGAAATATTACACTGAGAGTTCGCTCTTCTTTAAAAATTCTGTAGAATTCCGAAGTGAAGCCATCAAGAACAGGGCTGTTGTTTGTTGGGAGACTATTTATTACTGATTCTATCACATTGTTTCTTATTGGTCTCTTTAGGCTTTTCATGTCTTCTTAATTCAGTCTTAGTAAATTATATGCATCCAGAAATTTGTCCATTATTTTTATTTATTTATTTACTTACTTAAATTTTGTTCATTTCATCCAGGTTTCCTTTTTTATTGGTGTATAGTCACTTATAATTTTTTTATAGAGATCGCAGATGTGTTTATTTTTAATACCCATCATCCATGAATTCATAGGGAATAAATCCCAGTAGCTCAGGCTCCTTTCCATTGGTTTTCACAAAGTGTGCTTCTCTGGGCAGAGCAAGCCGGTGCTTCTATTTCTGGTCATTTTCCTTCACATATTTTAGGAAGCTATCTCTGCTCCTTGAATGCTTAATGTGCTTAATACACTTGGCAAGAACCTTGCCCTTAACTTGTTTGTTTACAATAATGCCAGCAACATGCTGGGTAACATTGTAGACTCTTTCAGTTTTGCCATGGTAACATTTGTGGGCATTCTTTTTGCACAGTACCCATTACCTTGATGTCTACAATATCACCTTTCTTGTAGATTCGCATATATGTTGTCAAAGGAACCACTCTATGTTTTCTAAAAGGCCTAGAGTACATATATCAGGTGCCTCTCCTCTTTTCCTTTGTGTGCATCATATTGGTTAATTACTGGAAGGTGGCAGTTCCAGCCAAAAGGCTCTCATGATAGTTTTTCATGATCTTTTGTATTAAATTGGAGGAGTCCGACCCGGCGAGGCCCCAGGATCTGTCTGAGCCCCCCGATCTTTGAGCTCTGCTTTCAGTCGGATCAACACATTGGCAAGGCCACTGTTGTGCACCCCCCGACCTTGGAACAAAGCTTGGGTCACTTAGCATGTCAGCAAGACTGTTTGCTATTTGCTCTAGAAACTGGCAGCCTTACTGGGAAGCAGACCCCCCTCTGACTCCCCAATTTACTACTATAAAAGAATTGCATAGCTTTCCTATACATCCTGAGTGTACGATAAAATTTTTCAGGAAGTCCCCTGACCTACCGCTCCCCTTTGCTCTGATCACTTACTATTAATTACAATGCTTTACCTCCGTAGTCACAATAGAGGGTGGGCTAAAGTTCTTTCTAGGCAGAAGTAATCTCGACCTTTGGAAGGTCCTTTAAAATACATCCTTTCTTTACCTAAGATAGGATTAGGCCAAAACTGGCCCAAGACAACTCTGCCCTCTCCAAGTGAAATAGATAAATATATTAGAATTCCTTAAATTAGGTTATAGATCCCTACAAAACTGTATAAGTATCATTCTTTATTAAAATCCATAAAAACTAATATCTATTCTTGAGATTTTCTTTTCTC